AAATCCGGGCCGGACCTAAATAAATAAAAATTTCTGGCCTAATAATTAAATTAACTGGGTTATAAGCTAGGTATTTCTTAAAAAATTTATCTAGCCCTAAGTAAAATTAGCTAATAATTTTTCCAAATGATACAACATAGGACCTATAGCTTACCTCTTTTAAACGAGAAGCAACGATTTATCTTATATAAATAATATAAAATAAACCTTCGTCATATACAACTTGCTACATATCTATCTACTTGTACGTTCAGATCAATCAATTGCGTCAACATGTAAATATTGATTATATTCAATTTAAATAAAATTTTTCTTTCACGGGATTGGAACACCAAATCGAATGATCACTTAAATAAATAATCATATATGTTCACGATTTTTTTTTTGAACGAATAAAAAAAATATTTTTTTGCCATTGAAATCTTTATTTATTTAATTTACAAAAAACTGAATACCTTACATAAATCGATTTGATTGAACAGATTTTACACTTAACTGCCAAATGGATTTCTGATTCTAAAATACAGGTCATCTATTTACTTATTCCATCCATTTTGAATATCCTTGACAACTTAATTATGTATCCATTTTATAAACCAAATAATTGTGCACGAAAATAGTGACGGAACGTGAATAACGCAATTTTAATATAAAATTTAAATACACATTATGCTTTATTAATTAGTAGATAATTTTAAAATAAATCTCCATTAAAACTTTTGTTGATTAAGATGTTTATTGAGATCAAACAAATTTGTCGCATTCTTCGATTTTTGATTCTTATGATTTTTGCGACATTCGTGTATGTTCTATTTTATCGTAATTTTGATCCCTCTGTCTTACCATAACATTGTGGTAGCACGTCGATGGTAATATTTTTTTTATTATGATTTTATGAGAGATACTAAATAGTTTTCTTACCTTTGTTTGATAATTCTTAAGTAAATAATTATTCCTGGTTTTAAGAAAAATGATAATTTTTTTTATTAGATATCTTTTTCCTATGCTTATATATTAACGCGTTACAAAATAACCTTTTACTAAAAAATCAGGTAATAGCGTTACTTACGAAAAGACACATATGAAAGTAACTTATTACCTTTTACGTTACTCATTACTTGATATTTTATGTTTTATTGTCGTTGAATGATGAATGGCGTTCCTTTTATTTTTGACGAACTTTGAACATGAACGCGTTCCTTTATTTTGACTAACGCGTTCGAATTTAACGATTGTTCAATTAAAAACTCTTTATTTTTATTTATTTGAAAAATTTAATATTAATCCGAATTTTTAAGAAAAAAGTCTTATATTTTATAATCAGCTGTTTTTCTTTTTTCACATTTCAATTTTTTAAACACGCCGTTATTATAGTTTATTAATTTGAATAATTTTGTTTTTATTTTAATTTAATAGATTAGCATAAACATGGATATTATTATTTCATCATCATCTGATTCTGAAAATTATAAATCAGATGAATTAACATTACCATGGCCCAAATATGTTAAATATTTTACAGTAACATCCTATATTGAAGGAACTAATTCAATACTTACCAAATGTAAAATGTGCCCAAAAAGTATTATATTAGTTTCAAAATCTTCAAGTCCAATTTTAAACGACATTTGATTGTAATATTAATAATTTTATTTTATATAATATAACTAAGCAAATCATTAAATTTGAAGAAAACAGTATTTAGGGTATTTGACCCCAACACAAAAGTTATTTTGAAATTAAATTAATAAAAATTAGTGGCCTAAAAATGGTCAACCATTGATAGACGCAGTATTAAATGGGATTAATAATAAATATTAAATGGGATTAATAATAAGTATTATCAAATCAATTACATATATTTTATTTTTTTAAAGATTTGAACATATATATGAAGATCAATATGTTCTTTCTGCAATTATACATCCAGTATTCAAGATTCAATGGCCATCGTAAAACTTCCACAGAATGAATCTATGAAAAATAAACTTATAGCGTTATTGAAAAAATGCATTGAAAACCTAGAAATTATAATGCAAAAATTGTTAATTTCGAGATATCCTTTTTTTTATAGAGAAAGTAGAAGATGAATTGGAGGAGGATTACTTATCTCAATTTTTTGAAGCAAAGGACAAAATAATAAATGTTTTTAATAAATTCCTAAAATAGTTGTTTATTAAGTATAATACCGCAATCCCCTCATCTACCCCTGTAGAGCGCGTTTTTAATATAGCTAATGCCGTATTAACTGCCAAGCGTTCCTGTCTATCACATAAAAATCTTGAAAAACAATTGTTATTAAAAATTAACAGAGTTGTTAAAAGATACTTTTTAACTGGATCTAGATACAGATACAGATACATAGTCTCAAAAGTTATCTAGATACAGATACAGCGTCTAAAAAGTTATCAAGATACAGATACAATTTTTAAATGTATCTGTATATAGATACATTTTTTTATGCTCTTATAGGTTTGCATAAACCTAAATTAATATTATATTGTAAAAATTCATGAAATGAGCTAAAAATTTATTGACGCGATATAACATTTATCAGAATATAACTAAAATTATAATTTTAATATAATATATGAAAATATATGATTAAATAATTATTAGATTTCAGTAATAAAATATTTTCAAAATTTTGATCATTTAGGCATCCTCGTTTATCTGTGAAGACATTTTTAGCAACACTAAATAGTCTTTCCACAGGGGCGCTTGAAGGAATTGTAGTGTTATATTTAATAAATAACAATTTTATATCAGTTCTTTAAAAATGCTAAAATCTCTACATTTATTTTTGAAAAAGTTATTTAAAATTTGTTGATTTAGAAATTATATCTGCTGTAGGGTACTGAAAAAAATCTGAAATTAAATTATTTTTTTTTTTGGCAGGTTATTTGCTTGCAGTCAGTTGATGACTTTGATAATTCACCAGCTAATCTTTGTATCAATTGTTTTCTTTTATAATGGCTGCATGCCATCTATAATAAAAGCAATAATTAAATCATCTAAAGTGCCTTGAGTTTAAGTCAAAGGTCTTTTAGCAAAAATATTATTGGAGGATGAGCCTTGCCAATATTTTCTTTAGTAATTTATTTTCCTTCCCCTTTTTTATTTTTGTTAACAAGGTTGGATATTTTCTCTTAAAATTTTAATTAGAATTTTAAATATATAATATCTATACCCTTATGTGCTTCACGATATTGCACGTTGAAGTCATACTGACGGATATTTTTGTATTTTTAGGTAGACACGGGAAACCTTTTACCATCAGAGAATTAATTGTTTTCTTTGTTTTGAGATATTATTTTAAAATATGCACAATTTGGCCATGGTAAAGCAATAGAACTTGTTGCTTCCTCTTCTTCATCGATATAGATCTAAATAAATATATAAACTTAAAAATTTAGTTATAAAATAAAATTTACCATTTCCATATTGTAATATTAAAATTTGTATGGTTTATTGATAAACTAGGACATAATATTTAAATTAATGAATATTTATATATATTTTTTATATATAAGTTTTAATATTTTATGTATATATAATTCTTTATTATAGTATTAATAAATATTAATATATAATATATATATATTTATTTATTTCATAAGCTCATATGAAATAAAATAAATTTTACAGTCAAATATTTTTATTTATAATAAAAAAAGGGGTATATAAAATGTATCTTAAAAAGTATCTAAAAACAGATACAGATACCTCTAAAAAAATATCTAGATACAGATACAGATACCTTTCTAAAAAATCTATCTTGATACAGATACAGATACTACATTTTTATATCTAGATACTTTAACAACTCTGAAAATTAATAAGAAAATTTTTTATATAAATAAAAATATCTTTTTTTCGCTATATTATATATTATATTTTTTTTTCCGGTCATGTGTTACTTTATTTGAATATTTACATTTATAATTATATTATCAAAAATAATTTTTTATCATGGCTAATATATTGCGTTAAAAAATATAAGACATTTATTTATAATAAATTAAATTTATAAAATTTTGAACGAACGTGAACGTGTTCGATTTTTCTAAATGAACGCGAACGCGTTCGATTTTTTTATAGAAATTTTTACAGCACTGTCTTTTAATGTTTAGGTCTTTTTAAAATAAATTACAAGTATCTCATTTCTTTCTTTTTTTCTTCTGTAATTTTTGTGGCTTATTGGATGTAGTTATATTAGAGAAAAGCTTGTGAGGATAAAATGTGAATTATTTTCATCATTACCTTAAAGACAAATGAATAAAATACAGTGTTTGCATATGTGCCAAGACTCATTCCCTATAATAAGAAAAAGTGTTTTTTTGTGATAAGGATATGCTTGATGACTCGGATGATGAACTATCAAAATATTTCCAAATAAAAAATACATGTTTAGAAGAATTGTTTAAGAATTATAATAAGCCATCCACAGCTCATAAACTAGTGTCCAGCACAGCAAAGAGGTGCTGAATGTTAAACGATCTTAAAAACTTTGGAAAACAATCGCCATTCAAAAATTATATATAAATAGAAAAATCAATAATAAAAAAATTTGTGAAATTTATTTGAATTATGGCTAGTAGCTATTTTGGTACTTAGAAAGGGTAAAGTAACTTAAACATAACGGCCTTACTATTTTTGCTGAGCAACGTGAAATGTAACGAAACGACGTTTCCTTTTTTTGAGTAAAATCTTAAAAATTAAAAGGTAAAAGATAAAGATTATATTATGTTAAAATAATAAGAATAAAATTAAAGTATAATGAAAAATAATATTCGGAATTTTTAAAATTGAATTTAATAGTAAATAAATAAGGTGTCTCCTTGTTCGAGATCTCTTTCTTGACATTCATGTCTGTGAATCTTGGAACGTATTTGATATTTTTTATTTAAAAAATCATATTATACTATGCCTGTGTTTCAGTGATTTTGGAGAATTTTTAATAATTTTTTTTTTCGACTTTCCTCATTAATTTTTATTAGATCATTAAGTACGTGATCACTTACCAGATTAAAACGAATCTATTTGCTGGAACACAACGAATTTAAACACATATCGTAAATTTTTACTCACATCGGATCTCGTACTATTACTTTCGTGGCAAGGAAGCATACAACTCGTTATTTAAATCTTACGATTATTATAAAAGAATAATATCCTATAAAACCACGATCATGAATGACAGCTTATCATCCTTACAACACGACCAGCCTCGCAAGGCTCTTTTAACGACCAAGTCTAACGGGTTCACCAATTACGGCATAACCAATAAAACTAGCAAGAGTGATTCATACTACCTAAACGATGAGCGCTATAACAAAAACAATGATCAAAAGATATCGACCGAAATATCATATTATGATCTCAAACCGGAAGTTCCCCTTTCGAGTCTCTCGCCGCTAAAGTCCGAGAAGGCCTACTTTCACGACAGCGGATATCACGAGGTATACCAAGGTGAATATCGCGAAAATGACACGAAATATTTGTTGCACTGTGGCGCCCACGACAACGTTGAATATCATTGCGAAAAACACCTAACCTTTGATGATTATCATTCACACAAGAAAGAGACGCTTACCGCCTTTGAAATCGCACAACTTTTTTACCGCACTTCTTTCATGTTTTTTAAACATTTTCTTTACAAAATATCCCGTTTCTTCTACTGCCTTCTCTGCCTTCGTCACACCTGTTCGGTATCCCTGACTGGGCTTTGTCTGGGAATAACTCTCGGCATGTTCTTGGGTATATATTTGGAGACATGCACTTATAATGGCAGCAATTTTGGTGAAGACTATGATATAAATTTTTATAATAAATATCCCCCTTATTTTCCCAATAAAAACGCTCGAATTCTCGACGGCGTTAACGGACAAGCTATATTTCTGGACGATAAGGGATTCAAGAGAGGGCATCTTCGCTCTCAAGATATGGTAGAAAGATTTTCAGGCCCATTTCAATATCGATATCACTCAGCCCAAGAGGATGTGGGCTATCAGCCCCGTAGGATCATCCCTTCACTTCACGGAGACAGGGATGATGACAAACTTCGACCTGCCGGCTCTGTCAAGCTCGTTCGCCCTTATCATTTGGCTACTGAGCTAGGCATCATCTCCAAGACCGCTATTGTCCTCATAGCTCGTGAAGATGAGTCTTACTCTTCGAACTCTCCCTCCCCGGCTGCCCTCAACGATACAGAGACTCGGCTAACTAATTTGCTTGAACGTATTTCCGCCCTCGAAACTAGTTTGAAACGTCAATTCGCCTCCATGCGTAGTGATCAGGCATTCTCTGGCAAGACCACAGCGGGCGACGCGTTCGGCGACGAGGATGTGTTCGGCGTCAAGGACGGCTCCTTTGTTTTTCACAATTCTGTGGCCGACGACTTCGATATGAGTTCAGATACCTTGACTGCTAAATTGCGCGCTGGAGGCGGAAGTCCGCCTACGATCGGAAAGATACTCTGCTTCATCAGGGCCTCGAGCCTCGACATGGGGACCGTTCTGCACTACTACTTTCCTCATCTTCTACCACTCTTGGTCTACCCGAAAGCGAAGTTAATTAAACTCATATTTGCTTTGCTATTAATATTTCTTCCTAAAATATTTTTTACAATTTATATTATAATCTAAAATTATTTTAGGATTTTATTATAAGTGGTCGGCAATGGTTTTAAATGAGCGCACTGATTAGATTAGGTTAAATTGAAATAAAATATTATAAAATGATTTTTAAGGTTGAAAAAGAAATAAATATATTAAAAGGCAAAATTAGAAAAATCGAGCAATTTGTTTAGCTTAAAATTCTAAGGCGCATTCTGATCTTTGATATATTTTCCCCATGGATTGCTTTCCTTATATGTATTATCTATTATAATGTATATATTTGCATTTTTCATTTTAATATGATGGTGGTTGGTAAGGCACGCACACGCCTCTTATCCCAAGTTAAGTTTAGATATATTAAATATGCCTTTAAATATTTTTTAAAGAATAATTTTATTTATAACAAAACGTTTTGAAAATAATAACAAACACTCCTCGTACATCAGCAAATTAAACCCGAAAGAAGACGAGGGCCTAGCTCTTCACGGACTAAATTTGATGGAGGATGACAACGAATTAAACAATCAAGACTCACTCAAACCCGAACTCGTTAACTACAAGGATAACGATCGTAGCAACCGAAAGAGGTCCAAGAGAGAGGAACACCAGGAAAATAAATTCGACACTTTCAAGAATGAACGGCTATTTCGTCGATTCGTTAAAATAGTGGCTCTCGAAGCCGACTCGCCCCAAGATTTTGTGTCAGCTACTTTGGGTCATATTGTAGACGATTATATGCATGATTTTGAATCGGTTTACATAGTTAAAGCCTCTGGCACCTACCTCAGGCTCGGCGCATTTATAGAATTTGCTGGCGGGATCCGTCGGGGGCAAGACTTATACGTGGGTCGTCCTACGGAAGACCAACTGCTAGTAGGGGGACCTAAAGAAGGTAGTACATTCACGTATCTTGCATAGTTCTAAACTTTGGAAAATTATATCGTACAAAGCTTCTATCTTTTTTTTTGAGTTTGGGTTTGGATTAAAAAATCTATTAAGATATATGTTAGAAAATTCCCTTGTTTTATATTATGAAAAACATAAATATTTTTTTTTAAGTTAAAAGAAAATATAAAAAAAAAATGTAAAAACTCTAAATAGTATATAATTGATAACTTTTCCAACCTTTTTAATTTTGATAAAATTTTCTATATATAGAACATCATTAGAAAGCAACGAATCCAAAATTTTAACCTCCTAATGCTAATAGTTCCTGAGATATCAATGGTCAAAAGTGCCAAAAATCCTTTTTCGAAAATGCGATTTTTAAAAATGAGATAAGCTTAAAAATAACGTTGTTAATAATAAAAATTGCATGTCTATAACACTATTAAAGGCCTTTAGTGATATTATGGACTTTTATAAAATAATAATTTTTCCGTTTTTATTTACGTTATAAATTTTGAACCTGAAAGCTCTAGTGGTTTCGCTTTCCAAATTTTTTGAATTTAATATTTTATTATTCACTAACATTTTTTAAACTAGCTTTCAGGTTCAAAATTTTTAACTTAAATAAAAACCATAACATTTTAATAATAGGCTTTTAATAGAGTTACAAAAAATAATATATAATTTTTATTTTTAGCATCATTATTTTTCGAAAAAGGTTATTTTTGGCACTTTTAACCTTGATATCTCAGAAACTATTAGTACTTAGAGGCTATAATTTTGGATTCGATGCATTCTAATGATAGTCTCTCAGTATACAAAATTTTATCAAAATTAAAAATATCGGGCCGAAAAGTTATCGATTGGTATGGAATTACTCAATATAGTTAAAAAATGTAAATATAAAATTGGGTTAGAGGCCTGCAAAGCCCGATCCTTTTAAAATCTTTGCACAAGTTGTTCTCCCCGACCCGAAAATATTTTTGTTGGGCCCGGCTAATTATAGTTTTTAAATAAATTTGCCCGGTCCAGCCCTGTCCCCTTATAATTTGTTTTAGAATTTGCTCGGCCATATAAAAGTTTTATGAAAAATCCAGCCCAGCTTGTTAAAGTTTTACGAAAAGTACCCCCCCCCCTCGGTCTCTTAAATCTTTTAACGAATTTTCCGGCCATCATATTTTTTAGATCTTTACCTATTTTTTTCCATGAGGTAAATTAAGGCTCTTATATCTTTCCTTTAAGGCTATCTATCTCTATAACAACAGTTTTATAAATCAAATACGTTTGTATCTGTATTGTGTATTTGTATTTGTATCATATAAATAAATTGTTTAATTTTTTGTGAATTTACTTATTATTTATTGATTAATAGTATTTTAGTTAGACAGCTCTTAAAATACAAAAAAATAAGCTTATTATTTTTATTAATATCAAATGGTATTAATTAATAAAATCAAAACATTTAGCTTGAAAAAATATATCAACATTTTAATACTCGGCCTAGCTATGATAATTTATAGACATAGCCTAGCTTGCCATTATTATAAAGAGCTTTTCAGTCGGTATCACATCAATTCGGCGCGGCGACAATTCGGCGCAGCTGCAATTCAGCGCGGCGACGATTCAACGCAGTATCAATTCGGCGCGTATCTAATACAGCTGTAATTTATTATAAATTTATTAATATAAAAAAAAGGATGATTAAATAGAAATCATTTAATATGTAGTCCTATTAATTATTTCTTTGTATTTTTTTTACAAAAGTCTCAATTTTATTTACCATATATGTAATATCAATAAAAAAATTAATAATATCCAAAAAAATTAACAACCAATATTTATACCGATTTCTTTGGTGGACAATTTATCACATTATAGGGTATACATATTATTTTGGCTAAGTTTTTAAAAATGACCCAAATCGGTCGTTTAACATTTTAATTTGAATTTATAAAGAGAGGTCTACTTTTCTCTGAGATTTTGCTAATTCATCTAGAATCAAATTTTTATCATAGGGCTAATCCAAAGATTTTTCACCGGTTGTATTTCTTAAATCTGCAGAGCATTTTTTGGTCTCAACGAATACTCTATTCTATCATGATTACGAAAATCAGACATCACAGAGTAACTTATCATATGAGCTTACTATATTGAGATTTTCCTAATATCCTCGCGTGTTTCAAGCGTAATCAACTTTAGACTCAACCGGCAAAAGAAAAAAAATGCTTTTTAAAATAAAAATATGATTAATAAATCTTTCCTTTAATTTAAATAAAAATGTATCAATAAGATGAATAAAAATGTTGATTTATAAAAATCCTCAATCGTAGATGCATCAATATTTGAGCAATTGGATTGTCTAGAAACTACTCTAGGTTAATTCCAAACATATTAGCAATCTTCTTTACTTTCTCATATTTCATGAAATTTTATCCACATTCTCTCTATTATTTGTTAATATTTCAACAATATCCTTTGCTCTATTCATAACCTCCCTCAAATCCAAATCAATTTTTTTTAGCATTTTGCTAAAATCATATATATTTAAATAAAAAAAATAAGCACAATGAATAGATATTAAAAATTGTGGCTAAATAATAGCCTACAAAAGATTCTCAGCATCTGCTGAATTTTTTTTCTTGCTTCATATATAAAATTCCAATGCTGCAAATGCAATATCATATAGTTTAATAAAGAGTTTCACCGACTCTTGTCTTTCAATGAATCTAGTCCGACAAAATCTTTTTAGTTTCCTTTTTTTTGATTTTTTAAGTCAATGTCATGATAAGCCACTTATATTTTTTTATCCATGATAATTGAAATGTCAAATTTCTTATATTAATGACACTGGAAATTTATAATTTTATTTTCAATTAGTATATTTAAGATTTCAATACCTATAATATAAATAAATAAATAAATTGCTCATTAATTCGTCGGGCTGATTTGGGCTTATTTTTAAAAACGGTCGATTATGATTTTAGCTAAAATAATATGTAAGATTAGAGATAGAGGCCCAAACCTTTCTTTTTCTTTATTTTTTTCATTCTTCTATTAAATTCTTCAGGGTTACATAATATTGGCTACTCAACATACCTTATAAATATGGTAAATTGGTCCCCCAAAGAAATCGGCATAAATATTGGTTGTTAATTTTTTTTGATATTATTAAATTTTTTATTGATATTACACATATAGTAAATAAAATTGAGATATTTGTAAAAAAAAATACAAATAAATAATTAATAGGACTAACATTCAAAATGACTTCTATTTAATCATCCTTTTATTTATACTAATAAATTTATAATAAATTGCAGCTGTATTAGATACGCGCTCAATTGTCGTTGCGCTGAATTGACGCCGCGCTGAATTGACGTTGCGCCGAATTGACGTGGAACCGTTTCAGTCGCCATCGAGGAATCAATAACATAATTTCATATAAATTGGTTTTAGCTAGCTATCCCTTATTGAACCCATACGTCCATTTCAACTTGATATAAAACCTGATGTCCTTATTAACTCTCCATAGTTTAAAGGAAAGCACGAATAATTAATAAAAAATATATATATCAAGAATATTGCTCGTTGAATGCCGGCTTCTTTATAGGCCAATCTGAATTACTCGAAGTCAAAAATAATTTAGCCACTTGTTTAGACGATATCAAATCTTTCGAAAAAGCCCCCGAATCCAAAAGGTTCCAGCACATTTTGGGTACCTGCATTTCCCAAATCCTTCAAAGAAAATGTCAAACTAACATTAATGTAAACATTTTATAAACTTTCATGTGAGAATTATAAGTTAGAATTCATTTATAATTTTCCTATTATAAGACTCTTATCTGACATGCATAGAGATGAATGATAAATTTCACACTCCATTCATTCGCATATATAATCTATTCGCTTTGAATATTAAATGTTAAGAATAAGATATAATATATTAAACTTTTCTGATTCTATTTTTATTTATTATTTTTTAATTACAGTATATAGAAATATGGCGTAGGGCTTTAGCAAATTCAGGATTATGCATCATAGACCCCGGTTTTTTTAAGTTTGTTATAGTTCTAGGTAGTGTTGTTAAACGGCTCTTGGGCCCATTTTTAAAAGTGGCTTACTCAATATTTTAAACAGAAAAATATTGCCTATGCCTCAAGATTTAGCTAATAAATGTCCAAATCATCCTGCCACTTATGAGCAAAATGTTAAAAATTGCTCATAGCCGTTTTTAAAATAGGTTCAAATCGAGTCGTTTGGCGATTTCTTAATTTTTTTTCTATGTTAAAACAAAATTTAAAAAATTATTTAGTGATTCATTTACGGACTACAACACATTGCCTTCTATTTTTATATAATAAAGTAAATAAATATTTGTTGAACATAATTTATGCTAATAACCAAAAATGTTAAATATGATATTTTTTTTTAAAAAAAAGAGTATATTATGTTTTTTTTTATTTATATAAAAGAAAATAATTGTATTTTCAGAATTTGAAAGATATAGTTGTACAATTGTACCCTCTCTAATTACATTTAATCCGAGCTCTAACCTTAACTCTCAAAATTACAAAAATAATCATTATTATTCCTTAGTGAAAATATTCCTTAGACGGACTCACAAACTTTCCTTAGTTTCGAAGAAAACACCTATTTCACTTGTGCCTCCCAATTTTTCTCTAACTTAAATATCGATCCGATTATTATAGCCGAAAGGTCAAAAAATTAGGAAGTACCACAACTTTTCAAATTTCATTTATAAAATTTCTCGAATTAATGGTGATCATGGATCCTCTTTTAAAAACAATCAACTAAAATCGCCGCCTACTGAGGCAACTATCTTAGTTTCATCGGTTTATTGAGAGCCTCCCCCCCCCCCCCAAACCTCTTATATGTTTTTTAAATATAGTTTTTATTTATCTTGATTGTTTACATTATTTTTTTACGTGTTATTTTAATATAGTCTTATATATTATGCTATTTTTTAATATATTCTTTTAAATTTAATAAAATAAATAATTTACCAAATCAATTTTCTTCAATTTTATATAAAAAAAAAGGATTATAAATTTAGCTTTTTTTGTTTTTGATGATAATAAATCAAATTCACAAAATTACAAAAATATATATCTTTAAATTTCGTTTTAACAAAAAAATGAATTCATCAAAGCCCGAGGACTATTTAAAATTTACGAAAAACTCGTGTCTATGAATTTAACAAAAAAATGAATTCATCAAAGCCCGAGGACTATTTAAAATTTACGAAAAACTCGTGTCTATGAATATAGCCCAGAATTTGCTAAACTCCTACAAAATATATAGTGCAGGCGCGTACGCAGCGGTGGGAAGCCAAAAAATGCAGATGCCGGATTATATTTTTCAAAAATATTATTGTTAATATTAATTTATATTTGTTAATATTTAATCCTATCTCATATATATATTTAATTACATTTATTTATCACATTCATCTACTAGTTATTTTATCAATTAATTTCGATTTCACGTTTTCCTTGGCGTAATTTATCTATTATTTTCAAATGTTAGTGGCGTATTATTTATCTAAATTTCTAGTCAAATAATAATTATCTCTGAAACTCCTTGTCCAACAGGGAGAAAGAAATTGCAAGCTTGTCCAGCGAAATCGAGTCTCCGCCATCAAGCAGTAACAGCTTTTATGGAGTTAGAATGATTATTAATGCTATTACTGAAATATCACAATGGCCTGAAAGAAATATTTCTTCAGAAGCAAGAAAATTATTGGATTCATTACCTATTCCAAATTTTTTTTCTCATTAGAATGTATTATTTAATTATACAACTATTTTATGTAATACTTTTCAAAAACATGACATTGACTTGATTAAGAAGATGAGAATAGATGAGAGCATTTTATTAGAACTCAAGGAAATTAGAGCTAATGTTGATGAAGAATTTCATATTTTATATGTTATTGTTGAGTCAAAAGCAGAGCTATACGTGTTTAATATTTGTCCCTCTCCACTTGCAGCAAACAAGCTCATCGTCAAAACATTAATATAGGATAGTAGAAGAGTATTATAAAACAAATGTCCCCTCTCTTATATTATAACCCAAATAAATGAATGATTTTTAATTCATCATGCAGCACTTACAAATCCGCAGATATTACTTCCACAAAAGCCTTTTCAACCTTTTTCAGATGGTGATAGGAAAAAAAAATAAAATATTTGTTAGATTTTTATCATAAAGATGTTAAAATATTTTATGATGCCTTATTAGCTGAATAACTATGATTAAAAGATTAACTATGGTTGATACAGTCCCAAAAAATGATATGGATGCTTTGCATTATTACAAACACATTTTAGATTATCCCAATGTATTAAAATGTTATATATATTTAGCACTCTTCCCATTAGTAAACTAAAGAGAGAACATTTTCTTTTTTAAGAAGAATAAAAAAGCCCTGCAGAGGTACCATTTGTAGGGCACGGCCCAGATTAAAAAAAAAATTTTTTTAAAAAAAATTTCCAGGCCCGACCTAAATTTTTTGAAAATAAATTATATTTATTTTTGATTTTTATAGCTAATAATGGCGATTTCAAATATTTGGTTTAAAAATATACAGCTCAGCCCGGATATTTTTTTGAAAAAATTTTAAGGCCCAGCCCGGGTGTTTTTTAAAAAAAATTTGGGCCCGGCCCGTGTATGTTTAAAAAAAATTAAAATACTGTCCAGCTCTGGGGCCGGGCCTGTATGTCTCTGAAAAACATACCTATGAAATACAACTTCTGAAAGTTGATTGAATGATTTGGATCTTTTGAATATTCATAAGCATTTAACGTCAAGCAAGGATAGATAATTGAAAAATTAGCTCAAAACATACAAAATACAATTATTCCTAAGAGACTTTTTGTGTATTAATTTATATTTCTAACATTTAAATTTTTTATGCTTCATATATTTTAAAGGCTCAAAAAATTCAAATTTCAATTTTGGGTCATTTAAGTGATTCATATCGTGGTTATATCCACTTTATATCTTTATATTTTATAATTCACATTTATTTTATAGTTTTTCAATGTTTATATATATAATTTTTTTGTAATTCACATTTATTTAAAATTATGTATTAGAAAAGTTATTAGTCCTAATAAATTTATGCTTAGTACTTTTAATTAACAATAATATTTCTTAAAAAATTTTATTATCCCCCCCCCCCCGACCAAATTCCTGCGTACGCGCCTGATATATTGCAATACAGAGGAAATATTAAAATCTTTTGATTAAAAAGCAGTAAATACTAAGTAAATAAAATAGATCTATAAATTCACTAATTTGAGCATTTTTGATTCCAAACCATTCACATATACTTCTTATTCCTGTTCATAACTAATGTTGTATTTATTCGTAAACCTTGATTTAGGCACTTTTTAAAGAACGACTAATTTAATTTTTTAGCCAAAAATATTACCCTAAGTCTCGTGATTTGGTCAAAAGAGGCCCAAATCTTTCTCTCATCTATATGTAAAATCTCGGAGGCGTATGTAATATTTTTTAGGCTAAACATTATATGTCTAAATCAAGATTTTCGACAACATAGCATTTGTCCAATTTGGGCATCCATTTTTTTCGCGTCATTTAAAAAAAGAGAATGCCCTATATCACTTCACTATACACTGCTGATCTAACGTTCAATTCCGCCGTTAATTCCTCCCTGCTCTTGTACGGTTTACCCACCGCTAAAACGGGATTTAAAGAAGCGGAAGTAACCGATTCTCCCGATCAACTCAACCAAATATACACTCTATTAGACCGACACTACACCGACGTCGATATCGCGCACGTTAAGGAAGAGATAAATCTCATCAAAGGCCAACTAAAATACTTGGTACCTTTTATACCCGATGCCGAAAAAAGTTGAGGACCTAATTTTTTATATAATCTTATGATTTTTACGAAGATAGGTTTAAAGTAAGCAAGCCGATTTGAAAAATTTAACCTCTAGTTCAAGCACATTTTTTAGGCTCCTACTTCAAGTTTTAAGCTCAAAGTAGGTTTTTAACTTTCAAGGTTAAGCCAAAAAAATGGGCTTAAACATGGAAATTTTAAAATCTTTAGCTTATAGTAATAAGTAAATGCCCATTTATTCGGCTTAATTTCTAGGTCTAAGTGAATTATTTTAATTTTAAGGTTTGAGCTGATTTTTTTGCTCATCGAGATAAAATCCGATTTTGTTACCTTGAGATTAAACATGATTTGGAAAATCATTAATTTAAATGGCATATCTCAGACCCAAATACACTATGATTCACAATTATTTCATACTCTTTACCCCTTTTGTTTTTTTAAACACCTTCAAATAGACATATTTTTCTCAGACGGAATAGCACCTAAAAGCAAGCCCACCAATCATTTTGACGTGGCAGATTGGATCTACTTTAACACCAGTCACGTGCTCTTACCCAATGAACTCGAGACGGTGGCCAAACTCAAAAACAACGAAAAGTTAGAGATTACCCAAATCATCCACTACGGGATAGCCCAATTTTTGCAAAAATATCCAAAGTGAGTATAGTAGCATTTTTAGTGTATTATATTATTTAGAAATGTACCAGATATTATTGCATTAGTTACCGGAATCAACCTCTTCCTATATTATTTTTTATTTACAGTTCAGGTAAAATATTAAGAAATATGTTATTATATTGGGTTTTTTATTTCTGTTTGTTTTAATTTTCCCTTTTTTAAAAGTGAAAATAACATTGTCAACTCTCTCTATACTATGTTGCTTAAGCACTAAGTACTTCTACAAATATCCATTTAGAATTTCTATAGAATTTTGGGTTTTAGAGGCTAGAATCCAATACAATCATTGTTTACAAAAGATTTTAGAAATGTTAATTTTGTTTAAAAATATATAACATATTAACTTTAAGCTTAAATTCTTTTTTAAAAAATATTAATATTATCTTTATATGCGCACCTTTTTAAATTTATTGTAATTTGTAAATTATAAAGTATATATATATAATATATATATGAGTCATCGTTTGTATGACTTATTCTATATTTTTAATATAAGAAATTTGTTAATAATAATTTTATTAGATTGCCAGATCCTGTTAGGTATGAGCAAATTAATTTTTTTATTTTGCCATATACTGGTAGTTAAAATTATTATCTCAAACATGTTTAAACATCCAAACACATTTGCGATCTCTTGTGGTAGGAGCCTTAGTCGGTAGTTTACAGGATATCTCATATGTGCTCTCACACTTCTTAATCCACTTCAACTAAAAAGAACTGATCCTTTCGAGTACAAGCTACTATCCTCACGAATATTTTCACCAATTTGAGATGTCTGAATAAACTGATACTTAATTTTAAATTTGGGAATTTCTCGTAATTGTTGATCACCCTATTAACCAAAGATATTACCATTTAGCCCCCTTCTTTACTGTCTTTTAGCATGTTGATTTTCTCTCATCTATCATGTCACTCTATCATCACTAAGGGCACCAAATATCTTGACTCATTGTTTCATCAGGCTATTGATCTTTGGAAATTCTTTTCTTTGTCGATCCCTCTTCAACCGCCCGGAAAATATTTTAGTTGGCAAAACTCCTTAGATCGAGGAGCCTGAGCATTCCTTACTTTTTTCGAACTATTCAGGAAATGGCTACAAATTTTTCTAACCTTCCTTATTCGAAATCTCGACCAGTTATTAAATGACGATAAGCTTTGTCATGTTATCTGGCTTAAGTATAACTGCAGCCTTTTACTTAATCTAACTGCTATAACCCTGCCAACTAAGGAATGGAAACGATTATCCCTCACCGGTCCTTTTTGGGGACGGATTGACGCAAACTTGCGCGCGTCTTAATTCAAATGGATTTCCTTCATATAATACATTAATCGAACACAAATGTTATCCCTAAAATTGGATCATATAGTATTAATCGTTTGCATAAAAATAGTGTTGACAAAAATCATGATTTTTTAAAAAAATAAAAAAATATTTTATTGATTTAAATCGTTATTTAAACCAAATAAAAATAATTCAAACTTTAAATAATGTATGGTCTAAAATTGTAAAATTTTGTTTTTTTAAATTTTTGTTTAATATTATCTTGCAAGTAAAGGACTAATGCTCTGGGGAACACGTCAGGAAATTGTTGAAAAATTAAATAATGATAATTGTTGTAATTTGATATTTTTTCAAATAAAGAGCTGATGATATATAATTTAGTTATTATAAAAAAATATCCCTGTCAAAAGAAGGTCAGCTGATATTGTTGGTTAAAATAATTTTATTGTAGAAATTTCTGTTTCAAATAAAAATGCCAAATGAAATGTAACTTTTTATTTTGGTAAATTTGATTGAACAATAATTGTAAACTAAAATTAACTATTGCTATTTCTCAACCGGTTAATAATTAACCAAATTTAAGACTCTTCATATTTTTCATTGATAAGTATTTATTTTTCCATATAAAATAATTATAAAGATAATCTATTTTTAAAATGTTCATAGATATAAATTTTTAAATTATAAAATTAAATCCTAATACCAATGCTGTTGATATAAATATTACTTGTATTTTTTATGTCATTTCTTAATTTTACAAACCAATTGATTATTATTTTTTATCATAAAAATTTTTTTTTAAAAATATACGTAGATTTTTGATATTTGTCATTTTACATTAGATTATTAAATAATATTTCACTATTGCGATTAGGATCAGCATTTCTACTATGTCAAAAATTGAAATAGAAAATAAAATTTTTTGTCTAACAAGTGGTGATTAATAGTGCAAGTTGGTTTGATTTAAATCATTGATTTTTTTTAAAAAAAATGGGGTGATTTAAATCGCCATTTAAATCACTAAACGTATTTTTTTTGTCAAACGCGTTCGTTTCAATGTTTTTATTCAATTAAAAAAGAAAAAAATTTCATTTTTTTAAAAATAAATTATTTCATTTTCTTACTCAGCTGTATCATTCAAATATTTTATAGTACGATTTCCATTCTGACTATGTCTTTTCATGCTAATATGATGTTTATATTTTTTTTATTTTTAAGTTTATAAATTATTTTAATAGATCATGGACTAGGCACGGCTAACTCAATATTTTAGCCAGGTAAATATTGTCTAAGCTGATTTCGTTAGTAAATGTTCAAACCTTTGTGCCACCTACGAGCAAAATAAGACATGTATAAGATTTTTCCTAATAAAATAATGAGTTAGCAGTTTTTAAAAATCGACTCAAAATGAGCTGTTTAACAATACTATCATGGACCCTATATGCACTAGTTTTTTGTGAAAATTGGACTATTTGACTCCTATAATAACTATATTTTATAAATTTAAAAAAAAATTAATTAACTTATTTTAACCTTTAGTGGATGCGTTAATAGATGAGCTTGGTAAAGTTTAAATTATCAAATTAATTATACTTATATATTATAAAGATTTAAGCGTGTACATGTTAGGATCAATGTTTTTTCCCATCAATATGTTCCTTTTTAAACTTTAAATTTTTCAACACGTTTTGTAAATTTTAAAATCCGGTTTTTCCCAAAATGTATCCTAGCATGTTTTTAATACCTACTAACAGACAATTTTGCCGTTTACTTTTGAGTTATTTATAATTTAATAAAAAATTTATGGAAAAACAAATATAAATTTATTGAAATATGACTAACCACGGCCTCCATTAAGGGAATGGGGATCGAATACTCTCAATGGTCTGGGCATTCAGGTGTGTGGGCAAGGGAACCCGTTTTTCAGAAATTTTAGTCACGTTTAATTTATCATTTTTTTGATTTGTCCAAGTGGTTGAATGGTATGTCTGGAGAACTATGTCTTTCTGCTGATGATAGACATAGATGATCCAGTGTCAATTTAGATGGTGAGTGGTATAACTTTTATTGTTGCTATAAATGGTTGGTTTTTGTTGGGGCTTAAATTGCACTCCATTTTATTTATTTCATGATATCTTTCTTGATTTGGTTCAGCGCTAGAAGACTGGGAGGAAATTATCGGGAAGACAGGCTTCGATTGTATCAGTGTTGATTTATAAAACGAGTGAGTATTGTTATTGTATTGATTTCTTTTCGGGCAGCTATTTTGGTAAAGATTGATGATCCCGCAATAGTAACAGGTGGGATTATTATTCCTTTCATAATTTTGGCCTGTAGTTGTATAGAATTATTGATTAGTTTGTTGTGGATAATAAGTATGGGCGTACTTTGTATATTTTCTTTATCAGATTGTTATTGTTAAGTACTTGCCATTTCCCAAATTTGCATTATACTTATTTTCTCTTTAAATGGTAGGTTATCTGAGGTTATTACTCTGCCCTATATTTCGTATGATTCAATTTCGGGCTCAAATTGTGAAGAAAGAAAGAGATCAAAACTCTGGATTAAATTAAACGGGGTGCCTAAAATTATTAGAGCTTCTGCATATTCCGTTATACTTTCGTCTTCTTGGAAATGATTGTGGAGTTTATTTATTGCTGAACCCTTATTGTTATTATTATTATTATGAATGCCTGTATTCAACCGCTTGGAGTAATCAAAACAATGATAAATTATCAAGGAGTTTCATTTTGGGAATATGTTACTACCCAACAATAAATATTCCTCAACTATAGGAAGAGATATACTGACAAAAATACCAAATAGAGAATTCTTAAGCCACGAATTCAACAGCTATTGTAACCAGCACAGAATCACTCATGTCTACATACTCCCTATTCGCCACAAAGTATACGACGGGATCTATAAAGTCAGGAGGAAGGAGAAATATCTGAAGATCCGATGAAACCGAACCCCTTCACCACTATGACCTTGAACGATTACTCGATGACATATAACAACCCAGCCACCATTTTTGATACCGGTTTTCCTAACCTTCCGCTATATAGGATATAGACGAATCCCACGCAAAAAGTATCTGAAGACTCGGCGGAACCGAACCTCTTCGTCACTATGACCTTGGACAATCCTTCGATGACAAATGACAACCCGGCCACCTCATACGATATCGGTTCGCATGTTCTCCACTCCACTGAATCGAGATGACTCCCCCGCCGTGCCCTCGACTCAAACAGGGATCCAGACTATATCCCCTTCTAAAGCTCTATGGAGAACCTAGAGATGGAATATCTCCCAATCCCTATCACTTCATGCTAAGACTTTCCCGAATGTCTCAAGATAACCCACGAAAAAAAACCATAAGTATTTTCACACAAAAAGCGATAAATATACTTAGTTATATTTATTAAAATTTAAAAACAATGGGTCAAAAAAAGAATCGCAAATTGATGGTCATAAAACAACCAAGGAAAACAACATTATACTTATAAAGTAACACGGGGTGTTAAAAAAATTTATTCATGGTTACGCCAAATATAATATCCCTACTATACAAAATTATCAAAACATTGGCTTCTATTTAAAAATAAAAGGAAAATACATCAAAATTATTTTAAGTTCGTTGGCAAAATTTTTCTAAAAATCACAGAGTAGGATTTTTACGCATGCTGTAATTTATTTCTAGCAGAATCATATTTTAGCACGCTAAAAAAATTTAAAGTTGAAAAAATAACACATTGACTGAAAAAATTTTATGTAATTTTCTCTATAACACATCCTGTATTTAAACTTGAAGAGTCTTGGATAAATCTTTCACAGAATGAATACTTAAAAATATACTAGATCATATTTAAAGAAACTCGTAGAAAACCAATTAATGGGGAAGCATTAGACCAGAGAGTCGATTTTGAAATATCTTTTTTTCGACGAAGAATTAGTAAAATCGGAACATGATTTGTATATCGAAATATTTTTTTAAAAAAAGATAAAAACATCAAATATTTTCAATAAATTTTCAGAATGGTTCGATTAATTTTTGATACTTAGGCGCAGCTTTTGAACTAGAGCACTCTATTTTTGTTTAATTTATGTTTTTATATGTCATTAATTTTTTTAGTATTTTTTATTTTGTTTTTTTCCTCTTACTTTTTAGGCTGTTTAGTTATCAAATATAATAACACTGTAATACTATCCTTAACTCCGGTGGAACGCATTTTTTTTACCTTAGTGAATTCAGGTTTAAATACAAAACGTTCTTGTTTATCGGATGAAAATTCAAAAAAAATTTAAATATTATATTATATTGTTAAATTTTAAGCAAAAAAAATCTTTGAAGTTGAAAAAAATTTTTAAACATATTTTATTTTGATCAAAATTTTAAATCTTCTTTATAAATAAATCTTTTTTGAGGATTTGTGAATTTTATAAAACAGATTTTTGAGGTGAAATCTTTTATATATTTTTTATTATTTTTGTAAAATTATCTTCTTTTTAATGTATATTAAAGGTGATGTTTTTTCTAAATTTTTTAAATATTTATAATTAAATTTTTTAATAAGGATAATATTTTAAAGTAACAATTGTCACATTCGTTATTTTTTAACATTTTTCACACAAACGGGTAAAAAAATATATATTTGTAAAGATGCTATATTATAAATTTAATGAAGATGTTCCTTGGAAATATGACAATTGTCATAATCGGTATTTTTAAACATGTTTTATTTTTTTGATGATCAAAAATATGTATTTTTAATATCAATGAAGATGATAGAAAAGTGGCAATTATCATAATCATTATTTTTAAATATATTTGAATTTTTGACACAAACACCAAAAATATATTGTGAACTAAATTAAAAATTTAGTGAAGATGTACCATAGAAAAGTGACAATTGTCATAATCGTTATTTTTGAATATATTTGAATTTTTTTGACGCAAACGGGCAAAAATATGTAATTATTAACATGTTAAATTAGAAATTTAGTGTAGATGAACCATAGAAAAGTGACAATTGTAATCGTTATTTTAAAGAATTTTTTTGACGCAAATGGGCAAATTTATGTATTGTGAACATGTTAAATTAAGAATTTAGTAAAGATATAACATAGAAAAATGACAGTCATAATAGTTATTTTTAAACATATTTGAATTTATTTGACTCAAATGGGCAAAAATATGTTTTGTTAACATGTTAAATTATAATTTCAATAAATTTTTAAGTAAATAAGATTCCTTTTTATACAAATGGATTTCGGAATGTATTCGATATTTAATTAATAAACAGCGAACTTGAATTAATTCTTTCTTTGTTAAAAATTGTTTACAGCGCAAGCTTCTACCGATTCTTCTGCATTGTTATTATTTTCTATTTTTTTAAATCCCCACTTTGTTTAAATATTTTTAATTTAAATCAATTTTCAATGCCATTAATTTTAATTGGAATTTTAACCTTCCCATTAAAATCGGATCATATATTTGGGTATTCAGAACCATAACTAAAAATTTTGCTTAAGGGGTAGAAGGGGGGGGGGGCACTGAGGGTCGTACTTTGAAAAAAAAGATTGCATAATTCGTTCTTCTTTCATAAGAAGGGATGTGCGAATAATAGGTTAGAATATGATAGGTATTATGAATCCAATTTATTATAGTAAATTATAAATAATTTACTATAAATGACTGAATTAGGTCATTATAAGCGTATTATATAATATTTATACCTTTTAACATTGTAATTTACTTAGAACACAAAAAAATCATGCATATTTTCTGTATGACGGCCCAAAAATATTTTAAGGAATCGCGCTCCCAAATTCTTTAAAAGTTACGGCCTTATATGTATTATAGCTACGTACTATTATCTATTAATTTTATTGCTATCGGTCAATTCTGTGCAATCTCCTTCACAAACATGCAAATAATAAACTTTCTTATTAATATAAACAAATTCGTTTTAAAAAATAAAATACTTATTAGTGTTTTTTTTTAAATTTAACCTTAAACAAGTAGCCTGACTTACATGCGTTTCGTCAACGGGTACAAGCAAAACGATCCCACCCGCGGAATAGAATATATTCTTGATTTCGACTTTTTGGACACTTCCGTGACCTCTAATTTGCCTGTGAAGGCTGATGAAAGCGCCACTCAAGACATCAAGATTATCTCTAAAAGGTAATTTGAAAAAAATTTTGCATTCATTTAAGAATTCACTGCACTTAGGTATAGATATTTATATGTTTCTTTAAAATGGTCAGAAAGAATAAAGTTTGAGAATGTTCTACCCTATATACAATTGAATTTCTATTCTTTAAAATAGAGGCCGCACAAGTTTCTTCGATATTATTTGGATGATACTTTTTTTTACAATCTTTTCATTTAAAAACCGCGAAATCCAAATCATCTTTTTATGCTACTGAAAAACGTTCATTAACGCAATTCACTTTACAAGTATAAATCCATAATATATCAGTACTAGAGGTCAGCCCGCTCAAAGTATGTTCAACATTATGTGGGTTAAAAAAAATAATTTTTAATAATTTTCAGGCGAAATGAGCAGAACAGACTAAAAATAATAGTTTTATTTCATAATATTACATATTATATATATATTTAATTAAAAATACATTAAAATAAATAAATGAAGAGCCATTAAAAAAATTATAAGGGGGTAGGCTAGTTAAAAAATTTCAAAACAACGAGTGGACGGGTTTTTTGGCTAAAACCTACCCCACTCATTGTAGACCTCTAATCTGTACTACAATAGTAAGGAGTGATATAGAGGAAATGTGTGAAATAAATATGATATTTCAATCTGTATGATGTTTATTTTCTCCCCCTCTTAATTTGCAGATGCCACATGATGCGCCCCACGGGCGAACCCTCCATATCTTTCATAAACAACAATAACGACCAATACTCCCCACCCCAACGAAAAGATCTCAGTATAAAAAAACATCAAATAGAAGAGGGCGTCGATGAGGGCATCGATCCCGCAGGAGACCCAGAGAGTGAGGAAGAAATGGATGAACTGTCCTCTACACCGCCCATATTGGTAAGGTACCTACTTCTACCGGTGTGGGCCCGCAATTGCCCAGATCAGGCGCTACAAGCTCTACGTGCTTACACATCAGAGGAAGCTTCTAATTCCCGCTTATCTATCCGCTCCATTGATAACGCTCGCCTCCTCCTTATTTTTCTCACCCTCGAACCCCCATCGTTCCCCGCAGATAATACCAACGTTTCTCTAATAGCATTAACGGACCGTTTTTTGCGTTTGCAGGCTGATCGACTTGACTCTGTGAAACGCGAAGCTGTGGCCCTTAAACGAGGGGGAGCGTCCCTCAATCTGGGATGGTTCACTCTCCCGATTCCCGCGCTCCTTCACGCCAACCCTTCCGATCTTGTCAACATCTCGGACGAGCGCCTTCTCGAATCCTTCGTTTACAATGGCAGCATCTCGATCCGCATCCTTGACGCTTTCGCACAAAAACTGCATGCTAAATACGGCGATGATCGATATTTTCCCGCTTCATCTGCCGCTAAGGAATCTAAGACTGCCCGGTACATAAATATGGTTACTCTTCTAACCCTCAATGTCCGAATAGTGACAAGTCCTTTCTTTGCGCTAGCTCGCGTCAACGCCCATCGTGGTAAACGTGTTTGCTTCCCGATCTCCTATCAAAGGTTTTTCCCCTTATTTTCAACTTTTTTATATAAAAATATCTGAAAATTTTTAACTACTACACTCATATCTATTTTTTCCCAAAAGTGTAATATAAAATTATAATCGTTGGAGAAGAATAAATTTTGATTTTTGACTAGTTTCTGGAAGTGGAAATGGCAAAGAATCTTTCGATATTTTAAGATGTATATCTTACGATAATAACTAGCGTTGCTTTATATATTATATTTTAATCATTTTTGTTTAATCATTGTTTAATGTTTAGGTTTAAACAAATTATCCGGACATCTAATTTCATTCTTTTAGCTTTTATTTTTGTTGGTCTATTCGATGTCTTAAATTATATTATGAAAATAATACTACGTTTAATTTTAAAGCCAAATTAATAAAAGAGTTGAGGAAAGATTGATAAAACATATGACATTATACAGAGAATTAATGGCAAGAAGTATTCCCGTCTGATATATCGGATATTGATAAATATTAAAAAATTTTCAGTGAAAAGATACATTCTTAGAAGGGAAATTAACTGCCAAACATTCTGTTTATAAAATATAATACACCCCTGCCATCCTCCACAGCAAAAGCTGTGTAGAGAGGTAAACTTTTAAATATTTTGAAAAAAAGTCAATTCAAATATATTTTAGAATATTAATTATTAATATATTTATAGCATATTTATAAAAATTCTATCCGATTATTTATATGAATTTTAGGATTTGTGTAATACAATGTCGATTGATGAAATAAAAGGAAAGCAATTTATTCAATCCTTTTACATAGTAACTGTTTCGGTACTTTAAAAGAATAAAATAATGGCGTTACTATTCTTAAAAATCATCATAACGGAAATACTTTTTAAAGAAACTTAAACATGTGGGCGTTACTATTTTTTGAGTAACGTAGACTAGTGATCTGCATCGGGCCTAATTTTTCAAGCCTGGTCCGGCCCGAAATTTTTTTATAAAAGTTATGCCAGCCCGAACGCGAATTTTTTTTAAAAAGTTTTGCCGGCATGGCCCGAACCCGAAATTTTTTTTAAAAAATTTATCGGCCCGGTCCGGCCCGAATTTATTTAAATATAGAAATTAATTTTTATAATTACTCAAAATAAAAGACATATGTTATATGTTGTTTAGTTTCAATAAATAAAATAAAATATTTTTATTTTACATAAAAAATTCAATATAAAATTGATAAATTTAGATATATTTAAAAAAAATTCCAAGGTCCGACCCGGCCCGAACCCGATTATTTTAAATAAAATTAGGCCCGTGCACGGCCCGAAGCCCGTTCGGACCGGGCCGGGCCTAACTTTGCAGATCTCTAACGTAGACAGCTCTAGACATTACATATTTCTCTATCTTTATTAGTTTTTATAATATTTGAGCCGCCACCAACTAAACTAGAAATAAAAGGAAACAATTTATTCAATCTTTTTACATAGTAATAGTTTCGGTACTTAAACAAAGTAACGGCGTTACTATTCTTAAAAAGCATAAACATGGGCGTTGTTACGTTATTTTTCTGAGTAACATAGACAATTCTGAACATAACATTTTCCTCTATTAATGATTTCCATTTTTCGAACCGCCACCAACTAAATTATATAGGCATATAGAGTTGGAAATTTTAATTTTTTAAAACTTAGGATCATTGGTTAAAAAATATTTTTTTGTAAGAATCAGGGTGATTGGAAATCTTTCAGAGCTATTTATCATGGAATTTCAATTATTTTTATTCCTCTATTTATTCCTAAACCTCGTAGATACGATCCATCGATTGCCAGGCCCACCTACGAGGGCCATGCTCCCGATCACCGCTACGATATACAGGAACTTAAGACAAATCTCGGTCACTACGATGTCGCCAATTGGGGGTCCGCCATATTTTACCTTTCAGATTATCTTAACGCCCGAGAAACTCTTTCAGCTTCCGCAACAAATGATTCGCCTTTTTATTCGCTCGTTAAATGGGAAGATTCTATGGACACGCTACCTGCACATCAACCGCCAGCTAATCTAGATTTAGCCGAGCTCTTTAAAGCTTACGCCAATCATATTCAAGGCGAAACATCAGCCCGACAAACCAACGAGGCCTCTAATAACATTATCAGGTCCAACCAGATACTCGTAAGTTTTTTTAAAAAAATGCAGTTTCACCTATAATGAATTTTCTGATGGTCGAATGCTATTAAACGAGCTATCAGGCCCTAATTATTGCCTCTATATTTACGAATTTATCGTTCAGTTTTTAGATTAAAATTTACATTATATCTGGATTTAGATCGTTCTTTTTTCTTCTAAAATGCGAAAATTTTACTTATTGCTTGCGGATGAAGCAGGTTCAGCAATTAAATGCTGGTTATTTCTCGCCATTCAGTTCCACCTGATTTTTTTTAAACATTTATTGTTTTTATATCCGTTTCAATTGTGATATTCAATCAAAGAAAAATGAGAAATATAAAACTAATATTTTACTGGACCACGGGTTGGGTTCCAATATTTTATTGATGAAGGATTAACCCTGCGGGAAAGCTTTTAAATTCAAATATAATTATCTTATTACCATTTAATATTACCATTTTTTTTCACAAAATAACTGAATCTAAAAATATTTACATTTAGGACATTGTTCTACTTTACATTTAAATTATTATACTAAATCTGGCTTTTACTTAGTTGACCAGTTCTAATGCGTTGGACTTAAAATTTACAATATTATTGAATTTACTTCCATCCTAGTTCATGCTTGTAATTTTCTTCTTTCATCAGAAATTATTGCTAATTCTAAATTTTATTTCTGGAGAAATATATAAAAAAAACATTATATATTTATATGAACTTTAAAACAGGATATGAATTTTGGTCGGCCTTTCGAACTTTTCCGTTACATCGAGCCCAATCTCATAATGGAGCATGATCCGTGGGAAATAGTTAACTGTCCTGTCCTTTCCTTTAATGAAACAGATTCTGACACCGTTTTAGGTAAACTTCGTAATTTGAGTTGATTAATATCAGGGATCCTGAACAAAGGCATTTGCGCTACTGTTTCGTTTTTCTTGCTCAATAAAATGTTTGTTCCAAGTTTTATTGGTTTTTATAATATAGATTAATTATTACATCTAAGTATTAATTATGACATTTCTGAAACTTTATTATTTATATATGTGCTGTGTTAATATAAATCTAAGTGTCGATAAATGCCACCTTTCAACAAACTTTGCAACAAAAGTAATGGCTATGATTTTTTTGGGCAGTAAATTAATCAAAACAGGCAGTGTTTTTATTATATGTGTATTTTTTTAATAATAATAATTAATGAATAAACATTCTGCTATATTGTTATTTTTTTGCGCATTCTGTTTATAAAAGTGTGCGATAATCTCTTCAGAATCTATTTTTAGTTGAATGATATTGACAGTTACCATCGCCGCAGGCTGACCTCTGATAAATTGGAAATTTTTGTATTTCTAAAATAAAATCTTCGATATATTAATGTTAAATATTATTTTAAATATTTATTTCAAATTTCATAATATATTTGTTTATTACTTATTATGTATATAGATTAATGTTATATAAAAATGATTTAACAATAAAAATATTTTGCATACTTTTAGAATTGCAATAAAATTGAATATAAATATAATTCATCAAATGACATAAGTTATGGTGTATATAAATTATAGATATTACACTAAAAAAGAGTATATTAAAAATTAAAACCATTGGTAATCTTTACAGAATACAAAATTAGATATGATATCGAATCGGTAATCGGCCGATATCAATCGGATTGGATCGGCCTTCAAAAAGTGGTATCGGTACACCCCTAGTAAACATGTTAAATTAAAATTTCAGTGAAGATACCATAGAAAAAATGTACCATAGAAAAGTAACAATTGTCATAATCGTTATTTAGAATATTTTCGATTTTTTTTGCTCAAATGATCTGGTTTTTAGCTCACGCCCTTCTATTTAATTGGGCGGGCTAGCTAAATTATTTTAACAAGTGCTAACGGACCTTTGAAAAATTTGAACAATGGGCGGTCTAACAAACTTTTATATTTACAATTTATTAGGTAAACATTAAAAAATATATGCTTCTTAAATTTTTTTTAAATACCAAATTATCGATAACTGTGGATGTTATCGTCAGAAAAATTAGTGAGATGAAAAAAAACTTCTTGGATTTGATTTGCAAATTATAAACAGCTTGTCAGAACGGTTTTCTGCGAAAAGAGAGCTTATTTTGAATGTGTAGGCATTTTGATGAAAAAAAATAGTAAAGGTATTTCTGAAAAGGCCGTGTAAAAACTGACACAATTGGCAAATATATTGAGTATTAAATCACGTAACGAATTGTGTTCATTTGCCTGTGAATTTAAAGATTTAATAGCAGAATTAAATGAAACGGACGATGATATCGTATGTGCAGGTGAGTAGTATAATGAAAAAGTACAATAAGATAATAACTCAGAATGTGAAATGTGATAATAAATGTAACAATTGTTTAATATGCGTGTATGAAATTCTTAAAAGATACAATATGCACACACAGGGGCGGACTGACGACGCTACGGCCTCGTGGGTATTTATTATAGCGGCCTCATTTATACCCCCATTTTACCGGGTTCCTTTAAATGGCTTCTTTGATTTACATAATTTTTATTACTTCTTATTTTTTGAAAATAAGTTCAAACGATTTACATTTTTATTAAAAATTAATAGTATTTTACGATAATCATATATTATATTTTTAAAAAATGCATATATCTAAAATCATATTCATTACCTATATAAAATAATATTCATTGCACATATATATTTTATATTAGATTTACAACGATGTTGCACTTGCACTTTTATAAAATCAGGACCGATCATATTGTAAATTATATTAATAAGATTCTAATAAATAGTGAAGGTCACGGTCCGGTCTTTGGTCCGGACTGGACCTATATCCTCGGACCGGACCACGGTCCTTAAGAAAAAGATCGATCCAGACCGTAATCCTAAAAAAAACCGGTCCAGGACCGGTTTTTTTATTTGTTTAAAAAACATTTTTTTTTTAACCTAATTTAATTTGTTTTATCATTTTATTAAATAGTATTATATAAACAATAAAATTTATCCAATGGTATTGAAGAAAGTGATTTTGTGCTTGTGGAGGGCATATTAAAATTAAGAGTAGATTGTGTTTTTGAGATATTTTCACCATTAGAAGTATATATTTTATGTTTTATCAGATGTCTGCTTAAGGTACCTAATTATTTTATTAAGAATAAGGTTAAGTTATTTTGACAATGAATTATTCAGACAGTTTTTTAAGAAAAAATGAATTATATAAATAATAACCAAAATATTTTAATAATAATACTGCTTATTTTGATTAATTTATTTCTTAAAAAATTATAAACAATTATTTTGTTACTTGTTGCTGACGATACATTAAATTTGGCACTGCAGTGAACACATACTCAAATGTTTCTTGGACAAACTTATGGTTTTCATATTGTGAAATAAAAATTAACAAAATCTAAAATAACTCATCTAGAAAAATATATAAAATAAAATATACAAAATCATATTAAACTTAAATAATAATAAAAGACCGGTCCGGACCGTAAAAGATAAAAAGACCGGTTCGGACCATGGTCCTAAAAAATGAGGAAAATATATAATTTTTACGTTAATAAATCTCTCATTTACTTTGAAACTCTGCGCAAATATACATTTAGGAGGAATATCTTCTAGTTCAATATACACTAATAGTTCTCGTTCAACTGACATCATTAAAAGTGCTTCTAATTTTTCTTGGTCAATAATAGCTCTCAGCTTATTTTTATGATTTTAATTTACCAAATGCTTTCTCGCAATTAACCTGCGTTAAATGACAAAGTTAAAATGTATTCAAAATAAATTAGTGTCACTGTATGCATATTGTATCTTTTAAGAATTTCATACACGCATATTAAACACTTGTTACATTTATTATCACACTCTGAGTTATTATCATATTGTAATATTCAATCGTCTTCATTTGACTCCTCACTTATATGGACAATATCATCGTCCGTTTAATTTAATTCTGCTACCAAATCTCAGAATACACTGGAAAATGAACATAATTCGTTATGAAATTTAACACTCAAATATATATATACCAATTATGCCAGTTTTTCCAAGGCCTTTTCAGAAATGCCTTTACTATTTATTTCATCAAAATGTCTTGGATGCAAATATTGCACATTCAAGATAAGCTCTCAATTCGCAGAAAGCCGTTCCGACAAGCTTTTTATTATTTGATCAATTATAGGACGATATAGTTAGAACCTATAAAGGTCAATCGATTCTTGAAGACGTTCATCTTGGTATTTGTCACTATATATTCTCTTCGCTCGACCTATTTTATTTTGACAGAGCATTCTGTACCCTGATATCTCTGGGAGCTTTAAATATAAAAGTGTTTCATTTAAAATAAGAAGCCATTTTATTGCTTTATTTTGAATCGATGATACAGAAGATTTAGCATCTTCTTTCATTTTCCATGCCGACAAAGTACCTAATTTTTTAATTTGAAGATATGACAATGGCCCCAATTATAGCTGTACTTAGAGTCTTAAATTTATATAAATTATCAAGTTTTTGTCTCAAATTATTTATTATCTATTTATAAATTGAAGTGCCTTTATCGTTATTGAGAGCAAGCTCTCTTTACCATATATCCATCTAAGGGCTTTTTCACGTGCTCACCACCTTATCTCACCTATTTTTTGCAGCCTTCTCAACTTATTTTGGCCAGATGAATTATTCTGTTTCAATCAAGCATCCATCCTTTTATCTGATTCACCGACCTGGATTTTATTTGATTTCAATGAATTAAGAATAAGAAATGTTGGCTATATTATTTCTACAATAAATTAATGTATAAAAATATAATATAATAATATAATCAAAACTTAGCTTTCACTCTACTCGAACGGAAGCGTTTTCACTTCATTTGAAAAAAAAACAACAAATAAAGTAATGATGTGTAACTCAAGCGACGTTATTGATATATTATGCATTAAAATATAGTAAACGACATGACAATTCTCAAGGAATGTGATATTCAAATCAAAGAGATATCATTAAAAATAAATGTGAACATAATAATATTTTTTTTCTAATCGGCCTCTATTTTGATATTTCCTCTGATCGGTCTCAAAAATCGATATTTTCTCGCGGCCTCGTGGGAAAAATGCCCACCTGGTCTTATGCCAGTCCGCCCCTGTGCACACAAGTGCTTACACTAATTTATTTTTGAACATATGAATACATTTTAACTTTGTCATTTACGCAAGTTAATTGTGAGAAAACATTTATTAAATTAAAAATGATAAAAAATAGGCCAAGAACTATTATAGCCGAAGAAAAATTAGGATCGTTTTTAATGTTAATTGAATGAGAACTTTTAGTGGAGATTGAAGAAGATATTCTTGTTTATTTGCACAAAGGTTTAAAGTTAATGAGATTTATTAACGTAAAAATTATATATTATTTTAATTCTTTTATTTAAAAAATCATGTAATTCAATTAAAAAAAAATATTTAAAAAATAAATAAATAATAGGAACACTTTTGAACACAGAAAAATTGGATTCATTATTATTTTTGCATAATAACAAATAATATGAATAAATATTTTTTTTATATTATCATAAATATTTTGATCATAATTTAAATCGATTATTTTTTTTATGCTTACTAAATTATGAAATTAGTAAGGGTGTAGCGTTGAAACTGAATCATTTATTTGTTATTAGATGCTTAAAAAATTTGAAGAATGGGCATATTTAAATTTTATATGGGGGGGGGGCGAGCGTGGTTTATTTTTTTTTATATGGGCGGGGCAAGACGAAAAGTCTATAAAAATTATTTAAATTTTATTTCATATTTTTTCTCCATGATTAAATATCCCTTATAACAATAACTAAAAATTCT